TGGCCTGTGCCCCCCCCCAGGCGACCCCGCTGGACACGCCATTGCGCATCCTCATATATATGTATTATCTTTGTTTGTTTGTTTTTAGATTTCATTGAGCCGCTTCTGCAACTCCAGACAGACACAAGCCTATTTGTTGCCTCGGCTGCCAATCAAATGCTCTCCCACGTCCTGCTGTTCTGTCAGCCTGTCTCATCTATAGGATGTAATGGCACCAATAAGAAGGAAGATGAGCAGAACACAAGCGTGTCCAAGGCAGTTGTAGAAAACCCAGCCGAGCCCATGGAAATAAACCAAGATTGCACCGCTGTTGTCGATGCAATCTCAGAGTACCTCAAGAGGGCGCTGGGGGTTCCCAAGGGAAGCGCACAGCTTCATCAGTGTCAGCAGACCCTCCGATTGCTGGCTCTGCTCCTGGGCCAGACCAAGCCTCCTCTGCATGACAAGCTGCTGCAGACAGTCACAGCTTCTCTGGAGGAAATGGTGGCAGCAGACTGTAGTGAACTCACACTGCCTCTGATGGATGTCATTTTAGCTGCATGCAGGTAAACCCCTCATAAAACACACTAGAGTGTAGCTTTATAGAGTTGTCTGTCCTTTTTTGTCTCTACTAGAGATTATTTAGATTTTAAGTAGTGACTTTAAGAGGATGGTGAGGACAGTGGACCTTCCTGGCTGATTATGCAAATCTGCTAATAGATATAGCATCAATGGCTTTGTTCTGTTGATCTATGCAATACAACAGGACAGTGTAATGGTCAGCCATCATTCACAGCATTTACTTAGTGGTTGTTTTTAAGTATACATTAGTGACTGTGCTGCTGTTCAGCCTCTTTCTGGTTCAGTTTATAGACTCTTGCTGTGCTTGCTCCTACAGCCGCGTCCCAGACCAGCGCATCACCCGTCTTTTAACTTTCATGTTGAACGTCAGGAAACCTGCTGACCTCGTCCATGCTGCAGCTGCTTTTCTCCGTGGCGGCCATCAGTAAGCACAGCTTGTTCAGCCAACACAAACTCTGTACACAAAAGTCTGTAGAGGTTGGGTTTTCTGTTAAAAAGCCCTGAGGATTTGTCAGTCTAGTGTCTTGTTTGCAAACTTTTCTTCTTCTTCTTCTTCTTCTGGTTTTATGTGCAGTGACCGTGTCCACACAGCTCAGTCTGTGAGATTACTGCTGCTACCCCTCGACATCATATCTGGCCAGAACCGACTAGGCACAAACACTGCAGGTGACCCACAAAGACGTACACTCTTGAGAAAAATCTGTGTTATCTTGCATTTATGTTATGGAGTAACATGAGATCTGGGCCTATAGGAGACATGCATCGGTTTGCCATGACTGAGCAGCTGAAAAGCAAAACCTCCTGCATCTCCATGACCAGTGTGTGTCTAACAAACATACCTCAGATCGCACACATGGTGAGTGTAAGGACAGGAGAGAGTGGCTAAGTAAATATTGGATCTTTTTCGGTTAACACTATAATTTTTAATTCCTCTGTAATAAAACAGGCTTTTTAGGGTATTTATTTGTAATTACAATGTAATTATATTTACATACACACAATTAAAGGCAGGCACACTAGAATAAGGGGATAACAGGTATAATAATAATTCTTTCCTGTACTGTACACTTAAGTACATGTATGTAAACATAATTACATTGTAATTTCTGATAAAATCTGAATGATAGAAGTAACACGCCCTTAGTCGCAGGCCATGTTATAAGGTGTTAGCTTTGTTTCTAACGCATGGAAAGGCTTATAATCTGCCTCTCTCCCTCAGGATCCTGACTGCCTCCCCTGCGCTCCGGATTTAATCGTGTCTGGAATTCTGTCGCTACTGAGGATCTGCAGCGGCGACTCGTCCTCCTCGGCCGCTGGCTGTAGTGAAGTTTTCAGGAATGTCATTGGCAGTGGGAAAGTTCAGAAATGTGCTCTAGAGGCTCTGACAGCTGTCAGTAACAGCCCAGGTGAAGCTGTCATTAGAGTTAGAATCCATATTACATGAATGAAACTAAAAGGGAATACTGAAAACAACCATTCTCTTTATGGAGGATATAAAGACCTTTAGTGCATATATTACGATATGATAAGATAAGACTTTATTGATCCCACAACGGGGAAATTTTTGCGTCACCTCAGCTCAAGTACAGATATATGAAGGAAATACAAAAATACAATTGAGTACAATCAATGAAAAAAAGTAAGAAAAGTAAAGTGATGAGTTTTTAAAAATTCTGTAAGAGACTTCTACAAAACAAAAGTAGTATATGGCATATGTGGGAAAAACAAATGTTAAAGGAACACGCTGAGTTAATTTACGTGTCTGTTTGTGTTTCAGGAGCAAATGGCAAGCTGACTGACGTGCTCACACTTCTGATACAGTATCTGGACGATCCTGATTCTGATCCCACTGTAAGTTTGTGCGTGTTTTTGTTCACAGATGCAAGATGATCACAACTATCAGAGATTTGTACAGCTGTAGGTGTGAATTAAAACGTGAGTCTGTTTCACTGTGTTTGCTCTAATATGGATGCACCCTGGCTCTCATCCCATTACACTGGGTTGGGTCAATATCCTGACCTGTGGAAGATCTATCTTAGAGTTTCATTTCTAGTTCGTTGTAAAGGTGATGGATGTGGTTAAAGTTGGAGTTAGTCAAGTTTTTCCATAGCGCACAAAGCCAGGAATATCTCTCGTAACACACTGTTGTCCGAGAGTATCACTGTACGTTGAAGGACTGTCACTTCTTTCATTATTTGGAACTAAGAGTCCCAAACCATCCAGCAGATGGCGTCAGTAACCTGAGTATCTCAACCTGTTTTTACACAGGTCAAAGTTAAATTTCTTTTGCTCACTTTCAAGCATCAAAAATCTTCTTTACACAATTTTCTGTAATTGTCATAGAGTCATGTAAAAAGCACAAGTTTCTGCTTTTTATTTTTGAATGGACAAGAACTAATGAGATAGAGAAAGGTTCAAGATTTTAAAAGGCAGGTTGAGGGGAACAAAAATGTTTTTTGGACTGAACATCGTGATAAGATGAATGCGTCTTTGTTTTTCAGGTGCTACATAAGTCCTACCAAGCCTTGGTAAAGTGGATGAGTGTTTGCACAGACGTCTCCTTTATAACAGACCAGCTCAGACACGGTAAATCACAGCGTTAGCATCTTCCCTGTAGCTCATAAAGCCTGTGCAATAGATCTGCACAACAAATCACATTGTTTGCGTCTGTTAGATCTCGTCCAGGTGGTGAAGAAACGTGCGTGTGACATGCGCTGGGAGGTAAGAGACTCAACGATGGAGTTTCTGGGGCACCTGGGAGCGATGCGTGTCTGCCGGGCGCCAGCTGAGCAGGCGTGCGATGCCTCTGAGGCCCTGCTGGGTGGCTGCTGCTGTACCACTCCTCTCCTCAGGGAGGCTCTGCAGGATCCAGAGAGTTATGTGAGAGCCAGCGCGATCAAAGCACTGGCACAGACAGTGATGCACAGCTGGCAGGAGGGGGCAGCACCCACACAGGAGCAGGTGAGAAGAAGTAAAGGCAAACCTGTCGAAATAGGACCGAGGAATGTGTACATGAACGTGCATGCATGACAGGAGGATAAAGACAGATGTGAATACTCAAAAACAGTAAATATTAGAATCTTAACACCGATATTATATATGTAGCATGTATTTGTATAACAAACTGGTTTATTTCACCTGCTTTGGTGCAAATAAAAGTGACAACATGTGCACTGAAGAGGCAACAAGAAGATCACACAGTGTGGCCAGCACAGTGTCCTCCAGCAGGCTTTATCACCAAGCTGTCAGAAGAAGACTCCATGAGGGTGGCACAAGTACCCAGCATCCTTCAGTGGAGCCTGTGGTCACAGATTGGCACAGGCATTAGTAAGAAAACACCTGAACTGGCAGGTTCACCAGTGGTTCCCCGTTGTTTTCACAGATGATCTTGCATCCGCAATAATTATATAATTTTTGCCGTGGTCTATCCAGACTCTTTCACAGCTGCCACATGTGCTCTGTGTGAACCTGCCCTTGTTTGAGTCAACTGTTCAGCTGGCAGGAGGTATTTTTGTAGCAAAGGCAATAACACGCTGTGTTTAGTAGAAGTAAAAGGCTTATTCTGAGAGGGCAACAGAGCAGAGATGCAGTAGGATTTGGCGTTTATTGTTGTGCCTCAAGACACTGTGACATTAGATGAGCTGGGCGTCGAACTGTGGACATTCCTAATAGTAGACAGCCTGAGCTGAAAATGCCTCCAGCTTCTGTTCAAAGCATCAATTGCATTAGGGAAGAACTTTTCCACTTTTTGTTTTGTTCTGTGGAATAACAGCAACACTCAAGATAGAGATAGTGGGGCTCAGAACAGATATCAGATTTAAATGATAATAGTTCATCTGTAGTTTGATTTGAACTTGCCCGGTTTTGCTAACTCGATGTCCCGTCTATTTCCAGACTGAAATCGTGACCCGGCTGCTTGAGATTCTCTCCCAGGACACAGAAGGGTTTGCCAGGAGGGCTGTTGTAAAGTTCTTCATCGCCTGGTTCTCTTCACATACGTCACACACGCCCCCGTCGTCGCCTGCCTCCCCCTCCTGCTCTCTCCTCATGCAGTCTGTACGCTCCGTCCTCTCACGAGGCTGTGCCGATCTGGACTGGGAGGTCAAAGTTCACACGCTGGAGCTGGCGGAGTTGCTGCTGGACAAAGCCTTTTTGGGGCACGGGAGTTACACGAAGGGCTCGGACGCACGTCCGGCCCAACCACACGCGTACGCTGTGATGCCTGACCGAGCCTACACACTTCACACACACGGAGACACGCGCGCACAGGACGCGGAGTCAGATTTAGTCGACGTGTTGAAGAGTCTGGTTGAGCAGGGAGTCATCTCTGCATTGCTGAGCGGTCTGGTCGACTGCGATAGGCCTGTAGCTTTAAAGGCCTGTAGACTGCTGATAACACTCAGAGTGACAGTTTGTCCGGCATCGCAAGGGGACCCAGATGTATCTGATGCCACAGCAACAGTTGCCAGAGTGTCCTGTGAGCTGCCCAGAGCAGGTTGGGCACAAGAGATCAGAAAGATACTGGGTGTAAGGACTGAGGCTAATGCTGAGAGAGATTTAAATGCACTCAATGCCACCAGCTTTGAAGACCACAGCGAGGAAGGAGCGAGCGCTGTGAGTCATTGCGAGCGCGTAAGCGTGTGTGAAGCGTTGGGCTCTCTGGGTTTGGACGACAGGCTGGAGATCCTCAGTAGAAGCAGTGACCACGTGCATAACTCGCCCCTCTCACTACTGCAAGACATATTAACTGCGAGCACCTCTCACACTCATTCAAACACACAACCAGGGCAAGAGGTCATAGTGGACTGCTACTAACGCCCACACGAATAAATCAAGTTACATTTCTCTTCATGTTGTTGCAATATTCAAATTCGTTGAATCCAAGAGGAGCACGCTAATTGTGGTTTTTTATTTGTTTGCTTGTTTACTTCTTTCACCTGGGTAATTGTAATGCAGCAGTTGAGTTGTAATCTAAAAGTTTTGTGACTCCACTCCACTGATTTAAATGTGCCCACTGTCACCTGCACCTTTACACCACTCACAGTGCCGCTGCTATGCATCGCTCCCAGCTTGAATGTCCAGGATCAATCCTGGATCTCAGCTATGACTCCGACTCAGTGTAGTCTAAAGCCCCAAAGGTGGCGCTGTGGGTGAGACCAGGAGAGTGGTTGTTGAGCTGACCTACTTCTGAATTTGTCCCGGGGGATCACCCCCTCAGTGCCAAGTTCTCTCGTAGCACCCTGAAGCGTCAAAGGGAGAACGTTCACTCCAAATTACACACAGCTCAATGAAAAAGCAGATTTGGCTCCCTGCGACTTTGTCCTCTCTTCCGCAACAAAATTCAAGTTGAAGGCTCGCAGTGGAGGAGATCCAGCCCTCAGGAGGAGAGAAGCATAAAGGCACAGTTACAGCATTTTTACACCTGTACTTACAAACCTTTTTGATCATATTTCATGTAATTAATTAAAAGAAAAGACCCAACATCCTATAAGGACCCCAGCCACATTTAAAACATATAGCTATAGCAATGTGTCGCAGTAAATCACATAAGTGGGATCTAAAAGCTCAACTGAAGTTTATTCACATCAAAATCCTCTAAATAAATGCAAATTTTGTAAAAAAAAAAAAAAAAAAAGCGTGTTATTTTATTGCTTTTTTTTATCAGTCACTAAGGGAATCTGTGAAGGCGTCCTCTGCTGCATCCTCTGACTGCGTAGATGTTATTTTGTTGTGCTTAAACGCACACAGGCAATCTTTAGGCTCAGGTTTCAAAAGCGCGAGTAACCAAATCAGCTGGAGCCACTTTGTTACCTCCTGTCCTGATCTTTTAGCATTGCAGTCTACTTCAGGTCCTTTTCCATTCCTTCAAAGTGTGAGCCTCCCACTGTCGCTGGTTTCCCTGGTGGACGTGCTTTAATAAAGCCCCAGAGTTTAAAGTGTGTAGGCAGAGAAGCTGGGAATGGAAAAAGGCGGTCGCCATCTCCACGTGTTCACGCTCTAACTCTGTCACATGTATGCAGAAAGGGACGCAGAAAAACTCTGCTCATTAACTTAAGAGCAGAATATCAGCCACTACGCACACAGACACACACACACACAGTGATTATGTCATCACCCCGTGCTGTCCTCTACTCAGCTGTAGTATCTCTCCATTCATGAAGTGAAACTGTTGCCGAGGCTCCTCCGCTGCACTCTTTCTGTCTGGGATGGAGGCTGTGGCTCTTTTCTCTTTTGCAGCGTCAGAAGCAGGCGAGATCAGTTTTCACAAAGGTGATATCATCAAGGTAAGTAGGTCTTTTAATGCGCTGAGAAATGTTTTGTTTTGTATGTCGACGCAGAGTAATTGTGCGTGTGCATGTGTGTTATAGGTGACAGAAATGGAGGAGGATTCTTGCTGGGTGACAGCAGAGATCCAGGGGAAGCGTGGCTACGTGCCCGGGAACTACATTTCCCTCCTTCCACACCCGTAAAAAGAACTATTTTGTCCACTTGTGCTGCATGAGTAACTCTTATCAGGCTTCAGTGTGTAGTCAGACTGTTTTCTTGTGATTGGATTGTATCATTTTAAGGAGTTTTAGAGGCCTAAAGATAAAAAAAGCAACAATTTAGGATGTCATCATTTGTGCTTTATTCCTTTTGTGAGCTAATGGGGGAAACACTGCCTTACATAACTGATTTGAATACTGCTTTAATTGTCTTTTAAATGCCAAGAGAAGTGTGTGAGAAGTGTGTGCTGTTGTGTGCTCTGGTAGGTGGTTTGCAGGACCGGTGTCAAGACTTGAGGCTGAACAGCGTCTGCGTTGGCAGGACACTGGAGTGTTCCTGGTGAGGGAGAGTGAATCAGCTCCGGGAGAGTTTTCCCTCTCTGTTAGGTCAGTGAATGCACCACAAACACACACAAAAACAAGAACGTCAGCTTGTGCTTAAATCTGACTCAAGCACGGTCTGTTTCCATGTTCATTTCTCATGGGCTCACTCTGCTGTCCTGCTTAAATAACCCATTCATCCACCGGTTATGTCAAACTCCATCTTTATGATCAACGACTGTTCAAAGCTGGGGCTGAACTCAAACCACACATGCTGCGTGAAACACACACACTCCCCCACGCACACATCCTTGCAGCGTGTCCCTGCGGTATTAAGTGTGCTGTTGGATGTTTGTTTTCCATCCCACTGACTAAATGAGCACATTAAAGCGTCCACGTGTCTCTGAGCGTGTGTCAGGGTCGGCACATAGGAGAGCCAGACTATTTAAATTGCTTTATGAGAACCGGTTGAACTAAAAATATCACAGCAGCACAGACAGAGCACAGAGAGGAGGAGGAGGGGGCGGTGCAATCTGGGTCACCAAAGTGACGTGGGACACATTTAATCACTAAGGGTAAATTGAATGTGTTCAATAATCGGGCCATTGCGTAACAACAGACAGTCTTTAATTAAACACAGGTACATTATGTAATGGACACATGCCACAGACGGGCACGTACACAATGTGCTCATGTTAACATTTTAAGGCGTAACATCTGTCTACCTGCGAGGTTTACGAGAGATGAGAGGTGTACAGAAACAAAACAATGTGATGCTATCAGCGATCAGCAGAGGGCGATAAAGATTCACGAAGAATGGCTGTGTAGTCTGTGCCCAGTCTTGTTTTTATTATCATGGAAAACACATTACAATACATTCCAGGACAAACCAGGAGTTTTACAACATGGGCCACATACGCTCAGTTTCATCTTAAGTGGGTTGGAGCGGTAAAGCTAACGCACAGTAACTCATTTAAAAGATTTTCAATGTAAAGAAGGTAAACTACAGTTTGATTGCCAGAGATGTCTTCAGAAACAATACTTCTGCTTTTTATCATTACAAAGAAATACTGCTGTAGTAAATTTAAAAAAAAACTGTCAGCAGGGTCATTGGGCTCAGACTGTAAAGGAAATAAAGAAATGAAGGACTTCGTTTATTTGCTGTGACAGAAATCATCTGTGAATTGAGTGTAGCATTATTAATTTGTAAAAAGAAACTTATTTTGTAAACAGGGATTATGAAGGGATTTTTCCTGTTTTTAAACTGAATATTAACAATAAAAAAAGGAAATTTTCTTGCAGTTAATGGTTTATCTGTTACTGGTGGATAACAGCCCATTGGTTGTGTCTTTGACAGTAAAGAAGCTAAAACAAACAAAAATACAGTTGAACGTTCAGAATTTGTTAACTTTGAAATGTCCACATTTTCCAAAACGTTTGCCGCATGTTTGACACCCCTGACCTCTGACCCTTACAGAACTGTCTGTAGGCTTGTTATCATTCTGTAACACGCGCTGAGTGAGAGTTCGGATTCCCAGCAGATGGAGCTGTTAACGGGGAAATCCGTTATCTGCACTGCAGAGACACATGTTAAAAACATTTCAGCTTGGGCACATTTCTCATAAACACTATTCATAAATATGATAATAATATTTGGGAGTGGGAGAGCGGTGTGGTGGTTAGCACCATTTCCTCACAGCAGGCAGATCCTGGGTTTAACTCTAGTCCAAGGCCTTCTGTGTGGATTTTGCATGCTCAGTGTCTGAGTGGGTTCTCTGCAGGTGTGGCTTCCTCCCACAGTCGTCGGGTTAATCGGTGATTCTAAATCAGCTGTATGTGTGAATGGTTGCCTGTCTCAATATGTGTTAGCAACCTGTCCAGGCCGTACCCTTCCTCTCGCCCCACGAACGCTGGGATAGGCTCCAGCCACGACTGCGACCCTGAATTGGCTAAGTGGAAGAGAATGGACGGTCCCATCGTGCTTTGTACCAGGATCTTGGTACTGTACTATCCATGTACAAAAGTGCCATAATCAATATTATATAAATCACACCTGTGCCTATCCTGCAACATCATGTCAAAATGGGCCTCTTGCTCCTGTCAGTGAAAAACTCCTCATAGCAAAAACTTTTGAAACTATTTGTTGTTGTTGGTTAAACAGTTCCAGGAACATCTCATAAAACTAAAAATAATAGATTACCTTAAGGAGGGAGAGGGAGAGGTTGATTAAGATATCAGGACAGGTAGATAGTGGGAAAGGTGAATGACTATGACGTGTAGTGTGTGACAAGAGGTGCTGCGTGTGTGTACGCCAGTTTTCTTAAACAGAGTTCGAGAGAAAGAGAAAGCGGGAAGAAAGAAAGAAATTTAAGTTAATGAGCAACAGTCATGATAAGAAGCATCAGGAATATTAATCATCTTTCTCCTCATGTTCATCATCATCGTGATCATCATCACTACCGCTTTCAACACAAACTCATCATCATCTTTATTGTCATTTATGTGGAGATTTATAAGTGTAAAGGTCATATGTTTATATATGGTAGGAATTATGCTGAGCCATGTTTTTAATCGCGGGTTTCCTGGGTTTGAAAGTTGCCATGGTTGCATTGCTGTGCTGTTTGAATCACAGTTGAAGTTTAACCCAGTGCATGACGCCCATCAGAACTCTTATTGGGCAGTCAGCAGGCAATAGATCCGAGTGTTGTGCGTCTTTTAAGTCGAGATAAAAGTACCCCAGTGACTGTGATGGGACACGTTATAAAACAAATACAAATAATAACATTTGAAAAATAATTGTTTTTGACTAAATTATGGGGTCTATGTTTGAATCTTCCTGATGAAATAGTGAAATAGTGTTAATAACAGCTTGCCTAGTCATTTCATGGCCTCACCTTTCACGGTTGCTCTGTGCAGGTTAATGTGTCTGCTCACACAAAGACATTTGAAAATGATGGAGTGTGATTTTAGTTGGTGGTGTGACTGAGGGAGTTCCCGAACAAAGAATGAGGACGCACATGCTTGTCTTCCTTCTCATCAGCTCTCTCGTTCTCCATGTTCACCACTCTTATCTTGCAGCTATGGCGACAGGGTGGAGCATTTCCGCGTCCTGGAGGGCGGCGGTCAGTACTGCATCTGGGAGGAGTCGTTCTGTTCCCTCAACCAGTTGGTGGATTTCTACAGAACTCACAGCATTGCTGTGGAGAAGGTGGTCTGCCTCAAAGATCCTCCCTCATCCCCTCAGCTGTTGTCGCACTTGGCGCGTAACCCCTATCCTAACCCTTACAAAAGCACCTCTCAGGAGTCCATCCCCTCGGGCCGTCTCTACTCTAACCCCTCTCACCCGGAGGGAAATACATCATCGCGTCTGCTGAAACCAGTTGTGGAGGTATGACACACCACCTCGACGCGTCTCTGTTTCTCATAAACGACTCGTGCTTCTGTTAAACACGCACCTGTCTGTCTGACTTCCCCGTTTTGGCTCCGTCTTTGTGCAGAAGCCTCGGCTGGCTCACGCCCTCTGCGACTACACCCCCCCTCACACCGCCCACCTCCACTTCCTGCGCGGTGACATCATCGACCTGCTGGACTGCTCGAGCTCCTTGAGCTGGAGGGGTCGCTGCCGAGGCCGGGTGGGGGTCTTTCCACCGGAATACGTGCAGCCGCTGTATCACTGACGCCATATCAGGACCGGGGCTGCGTTGCTGACACTTATCGGTCAGCCTGCAGTGACTCACCTTTCTTATCCAGTGACCAATCGCTGAAATGATTAGTCAAATGAGACTGACTGAGCAGATTTCATTACTGATTAAAGACCTATTTCCTGTCATCTTTTCACTATGACCTTTAAATGATAGGTCCTGTCTCTACGATAGCGACTTGTCAATCTCAAGGTTTGCCCGCCCTAAATCATATCGCCTATTTTACTACAAACGGGACCATCATTTATCAAATGAACACCACGCTGTAGACAGCAAGATCTGAAAACGGCAACTGAGACCATGAACCAGTTCAGATCCTGAGGTCATACATCCATGAGCACTGCAGTCATTTTCTCATACAGGCCTGCTGCCCGGCAATGCTGCTGACCATTAGAAAGAATCCAGGTTTAATTCACCTCACCGGCAGCTTCATTTTTCACACCCCAAGGCTGTTTCAATCTTTTATATACAGTCTGTGGTTGAATACAGTTGGATAGGAAGAGATGTCACACACACACTTACACAAAATCACAACAAAAACACACCCTTACGCTCCGGATTACCCTTTGACTGTTAAACTCTACCTAATACCTGCGAGTGTAAGTGGATTCACGTCTATTTAGTTATAAAGAAATGAACCAACGGCCTTTTGTAGGCAGGCTGGAGGACTTCAGTGCAAAATCAGTGTAGCACTTTTCAGGTTTTTGTTGCTTTTTTAAAAAAAATAATGTATGCCATTTTAAGTAATAAAGACAAATAGCAAACAATGCTTCTGGTTCCCTCTTCACAGATCTGAGGATTTGCCGCTTTCTGTGTCTGACACCATTATCCTTATTTCCTAAATAACTCTGGAAGTTATTTACATAGCAAAGCTTGGCTGTGCTTCATATTTGTGGGGTAATTTTACAGACTTATCAGTAAAACTAATAACAACTTACAGATAATTTCATCATAAGCCAAATTGTGCCGTTTAATCTCAGTCATTCTGAACGGCTTATACTGAAAATATGAAGTGAAATTTAACTCCATGTTTGCTTTGTATAGCCATCTTATCTTTGCTTGTACCCCCCACCACCACCCCCCACCACACCAGTGCTTATTGTACATAAACTACACAGAAGCCGAATAAAGAGTCTGGACACAAACTTCCGTTTTTTTTATCTTTTTATGCACACATCATTCAGTTCAGTTTTGATATCACCTGGAAAAAAAGATTACAGGACCACATGGAAATATTACTACTGATAAAATGAACATGAAATTTCTCATTGTTTCTCATTGGGATGCATTTGGAGCTGCACTCACTGTTCCATCGCTTCCGTTGGTAAAGACTTCAATATAACAGCTTTAGGTCATGTGTGAGAAGTTCTGATTAAAATTCATAAATCATGTAAATAAAATTTGAAATCAAAAGAACATTTAGTGCAAACATTCACACAAAGCTCTAAACATAACTAAATAATCAACACTGAGCATGTCGTTTCTAGGCAACAATATTATGTCACATGCAGAGCCTGAACCACACTGATGTGCTCTCACTGCATATTGTGAAGCTTTAAATTAAAGGTGATATTTGATGTCCTTTTATTTATGTTGGTTTGTTATAATCCACACACTTCAACATTTTATTTCCGTGGCATTGGCCCATTATTGTTATAATGATTATTATCTAATTTTAACTGTTTTAATAGATATGTGTGCTGTGCTGTCCACCGGCATCTACCGGCTTTACGCTGTCAGTCGATGTCTTAATGATTCGAGTGAAATCTGAGCAAAAACCTGTTTGTTTCTTCACATTCTTGGATCTAGAGGGATCACTTTCCAGCTCGTGTTGGAGGGACTACAGTTCAGCTGAGGCCAGATGTTAAATCTGACCTCACCTCAGGCAAAGTATGCATAGAGAAAAATGTTAATGCTGACCAGCAGGAGAGCGTTGAAACAGCAGAACCTCGACCACAACACGCTCTCTCGAATGCTGGGGACTCTGGGAGCTGGAGTCTCCTCTGATCGCCGTACTGCTGAGATACACAGTCCTGCCCTCTGACCACATGTCGTCACCCGCCGTGTTGGTTCAGAGTCTGCAACACACACACACACACACAGAGCGGACACAGTAAGTTACTCAAAAACAGGAGCAGTGTGTGTGTGTGAGAATGACTGTTTTTCACATGATAGCTGGTTATTCCCCGTGACTGCTGACAAACTTACCCTGGGAGCTACGGTGGCTGATGGAGGACACTTTTTGCAGAGGAATGTCTCTTTTTGGCTCTTCAGTTATTGTCCACCAGGTTAGGTTACACACCTGGGAAAAATCGAAGAAGCAAAACCAAGAAAGTTTCATTTATTCACTATCAAGCAGGTAAAACTCTACTGCCATTTTGACATGAGGTGACCCTGACAACACCCTGACTTTAACATTTCAAAAGTTACCCCCACTTGCTATTTTTTGCAAAAATGTATAAGATCTTTATTGCATGTGCATTTATAGTGCGTATAACGTGCTATCACAAGCTGTAAACAAGGGACGATGCAGATAAGCACGATTATCTGATGCTAGAGATAAAAGCTGCTTTCAATTGCCCCCTTTTTATGAGAGATCATCACAGCATGCGCTGCCTGTTTGTTTTGGCTGAGTATAACAGCGGACGCCCTTCCTAAAGCAACCCCAGTGCAGACTCTATGTTATAGATGAGTGCGAGTCTGTCTAATTCTCTGTAGTGACAGAGTGTTTTCCTCACCACACACAGACCATACTTGATTAAGCTTACTTCCCTCATAGTCGTGTTATTTATTGTATCCATGTGTGCACACCTGTTCGTGAGTGGGCGGTGGTGTAAGCAGTGATACAACGGCAACCACAATTGCCGTGAGCCCACAGAGCAGAATGGCGAAGTGGAGGTAGTGGACACCACGTAGCACCGCAGGTGCCGAATCCTCAACGCCACATCTGGAAGGAGGGAAGGCAAACTCCAGCACCATCCTGCACACGCCGACCACCAAACCCACCATCAGACCCCAGAAGGCGCCCTAAAAATCACACAAATACACCTAGATTGGATTACATGCCTTTCTGAGCCGAGTAGCTGAATTTAATTGGACAGGAAGCATGTGTCTCATTCCCGAGGCAACTGTGAACCACACATGGGTGCGTTCAGCTAATGTCATCACTTTCCCAGAGATATAATTTGTCATCGTCACATCACTCACTTCTCACTTACTGTTAATACACACAAACACGCAGAGAGGCACAGATCACTCTCCGACTCCTTCAGCCTTCAGTGAAGAATGTGATCTGTGCAGTTTGAAAATAACCGCCTTGTAGCCACACACAGAGAACATATCTGATCTTATTTTTCCTTTATTTTCATTCCACCTGTTCTTATTTTTTAGACATACCTCACATGTACAGTTCCTATAATGTAACATGCACAGATACTAACTAGGATCTATATGTTAGTAATTACAAGGTTAGCTGACATTTTTATGAGCTTAATTCACTGCCCAGCTTTGAACACGACACACATTGTGTTCCTGTGCAAACACTTTCGATTGTTTGCAATCTACAGTGTCATGCTGCTCAGCGTGTGACTCATCCCGTGCTGTAATGTGTGTCCTTTGACCCCGTGATTCAATATCATTTATATTTTTATTGTGTTTATCCAAACATACAAAGCTCACAGCTTTTGTGTAACCATGTAGTTCACCTTTTATAACAACCTTTTAATAGGTCTAAAGTGAAATGGTAACATATAAAAGAAACAGAGACACCATATGAGACACTATATGGACAAAAGTATTGGGACACGCCTCTTAATCCTTGAATTCAGGTGTTTTGAGTCCCATTGCCACAGTGTTTGTAAAGGCAGTCTGCCTTTACAAACACTGGTTTGGTCTGAGGATTCATGCTTCATGGCATGGGTTTCCATGTCTGAGCAGCTCCTTCAGGTGGCCAAGTACTTTTATCTCTACAGTTTATTAATAGGCTCACTTTTGGGATTAAATGTTTCAGAGACTGAGGTCATTTAACAAACTTTTTCTGCCACATTTTTACCCTTTGGCTAAAAAAAGGCCAATCTGGAATGGTCATCACCCTACTGGGAGTGTTGGGTGGGCAGGCGGGTGGTGTGGACACACAAGTTCGTGTATGCAATAACTTGAGAACAAGCTGACGTATGGGATATTTCAAGAAGGATTTTCACCTAGGATTTTCAAATTGGCGCACCTGCTATTAGTTTGAGGGGTAGCACTGATGGCCAACAGTATTTATTATCACTGTAGTGTAATGTTAGTAGCAAACAAAACTGAAGAGCCTAAATCAATGCTGGCGACTAACCTAAAGTGCTCTTCTAATCCATGTTTTGCCTGATTATGATGCCAGAGGAAAACTTAAAGAAGCTATTGAGATATTTCAGCCTTGGCCAATGAAGTGAGCCGATGTGGATAAGATTTTCTTTTATGTAACAGAGATGTCCTTTGACCTGCAAATCACCAAATGTGTGTTTGCTTGGAGATTGCCAGCTCATGTTGTAACCCCAGGCGATTTCACTGCAAACACAAAATAATAAAAATCCTCTAAAGTAGATTCTGTGCAGCTTAACTGAGCTGGAGGGGAAGTAGTATTCACAGTAAGAGGGAAGGGAAATCCTGTTCATTAGAAAAACCTGAGAAAATGCTCTTTCTTTCAGTCTGTGGACAACGTGCCAGCAGCGAGAGCAGACACACCCAGGACGTGCTCTATTAAAACAGGGATCGTGAATATCCAGAGGACTGGTCTTTACTTGCTGGCGATCGACGCTTGAACACTTGTGATATCAGATTTAACCCAGTATGGCTTTCCTTCTCATCTCCTCTGCACTTCATTCTGCAGGTTTTAATTGTGACAGTCACAGCAGGCCTCTGTCGCTCACAGTCTGTTATCAAAGATCACCAATGACTTTTATTGTTTAAAGTGAGAACTCCGGCTCCTCTAGAGGAAGCAATAAACAATACACTTCATGAAGTGAATTACTGATACACACAGCTTTGAGCTCACACACAAGGGACACCACACCAAGCACTCTGTGCGCATGTGTGTGTGTGAGAGAGCTGCACACAGCTTGATCCCATTTGAGGCTAATAAAACTATGCAGCCGTTACGGTGTAAGTGAAAGGACAAACAGAGCAAACAGGGGAAAACCTCAAAAGTCCAGAATGTTCTGAGGGCAGGTATCCAGGATGGAGGGTTAAGCTTCCTTCAGTGTGTAACAACAACTTACAGATGTCTTTTCTTCCTGTGTTGTAAGTGTGTTTGGAATAAAATAGCTTTTTTAAACTACATCATGATGTAATTGAACCGCTGTGATTTTTGCTATTTTCATCATGTCACAGAAAAATCATGAATGAAAGAAAAAGCAGTAATTTCGAGTTGCAGCTGTAACTTTATTATATTGATTGTCAGTGTGCTACCTGCTCATTGGTCCTCTTCCAGAAGATGGCCAGAGTGAAAACAGCAGTGACGGGTGGAGCGAGGTAGCTCGTCACCGACTGGATGTAAACGTACAGCTGCCCGCTGTTGGCTGACTGGAGGATGGGGATCCAGACCACGCTCACCACCACCAAAATCACGGTCACAATCCTGGGGCAAAGGCAAACTGTGTCAGCGCGTCTCTTTTCTTTATGAATCAACCTCCAGCTCATTCACACATGAGTGCCACACCTGCCAACCAGCAGCAGCTCTCTCTCAGAGGCTCGTGGCCGGTGCTTCTTCCAGATGTCCATGGTAAAGAGCGTGGAGCTGCTGTTGAAGATGGACGTCAGCGAAGACATCAGAGCGGCCATCATCACAGCTATCATAAGTCCCCGAAGGCCTGCAAAAATGCATACGCAGACACTCAGATGCAGGTGAAAACACCTGAAAAGTGTTGTGTGGCTGCTTGGGAAAAAAAACATATTCTCACCGCTTGGCATGAGTTCAATGACCAGTTTGGGGAAAGCAATGTTGGAGCATCCAACCTCAGCTCCACACACTCGCACACACTCCTCTGGATCCACACAGCCTACAGAGTCTGAAACATGGAGGCGCAGTCAAAAGTTGTTTGCATGCAGGAGTGGAAGGTGACTTTTCCTCTCATCCAGAATTCAAGTTTGTTCCCTTCAATTCCCACGAAAGGTACTAAAGAGCAGATTCAGGGTCGTTCCATGTGAAAGCATTCAAATGTGTCTGTTCCAACTACCTACAACCCTCATTCATAGTCACACTGGAGTAGCCAGCTAGTATCCACTGCTCTACCTCTTTAACCACCCTGAACACCACTGGTTTGCTTTGCAATTTGCTGCTTCGTTACCTGTTTAGCTGATGACAAATTTCTTTGTGACATAAGATGGCATGTCCCTTTACTCACCTTACCGAAGTTTAGAGCGGACACATCTAATCGCTGTGACCCTTGTGGTTGATGCATTGCCCATCCAGCTGTCTCATTCTCATAGCATGCACTGATCCTGAGACCCTCTGTGATCCAGGGCACTGTCAAAATCTGGGTCTAAAGCTGTTTGATCAGTGTAATGTGTCCAAGCTCCTGTACATGGAGCATGTGAATGTTGTTTCTTCATTTCATAGCCATAAACCAATTTAACTTAATAAATGACAAAGTTATTTAGTAGAAATCATGAGTAGAAGATGCGGCTGGGGTCAAACTGTAGATAAAACCAATACTTTGTTCCATGTGTTGATATGACCCTTGGACTTTTTAAAAGTTTTCTCCAGTGAACTATCAGAAAAAAGATACAACATCCATGCACAAATAAGGTTTCTGTCAACTTATGTCACTGATGTTAAACTGGTGGAGTTTCTCTATTAAAACTGCGTCCCATGATGTTCACGCTCAAACCTGTTTATAGAAAAATTAGATCATGGCTTCAGACTGTGGCATTTGAGGTCAATGTAAAATCGATTTTTTAAAACAGAATTTAAACGTAGTTTTCAGCCGTGAAAGTTTCATGTGTCTAGCTCCTGTATTTATACTTATAAAGTTAAACAGAAGGTTACACTTGGCATGGCTTTATTAAATATGGACAATTTGTTATTGTTAAAAGAAATCTAACAAACAGCTGATTCTGGGTCAGGTGGACGGCATTGATTGAGTTTTCCTGGAATGACTCTTTCCAGGTACTTCAAAGGGTCAGTCTGAGCTAGATGGGTTCAAATGTATTGCCTGTTCAGTAAAAAAAAATAAAATCCTTTTCGAGTTACCATCCATTGTGCAGCTAGGAACTAGGAAACACTATCTGTGGGAAAAGTGTTTGCACAAACAGCTGAGTTGGCTCAGAGGCATCATGACCAAATGTTGGATACTTGTTGTGTAGCCTTGTGAGACGAGAATGAGGAAAGGAATATATTAAAGCCACAAACTTTAACATGTATATGCATAATCACACACTACATAGCTACACACGCTCCAGCTTCATTGGCTCCAGTAAGACTGGAGTCTTTCATCAAAGCTACTCAATAATTTTTCCCAAATCACCACCCACAGCTCAGCTGAAACATCCAGGAGACCTGAGACACTTTTCATTTCCACAAGTCTGCTACATGTTAAAAAGCGCAAAAAGGGTGACCTATTTGATTCTCTATCTGGCTAATGTTATATATTAACCCTGATAAAGCTATTGTTTTTCAGCGTTACCTTTCAGAGACCCGTGGATAAGCAGCAATCACAGGAAACCGGGGAAAAAGCCTGCACTGATATAACAGTAGAATAACTATTAACTTTTAGGTTCATTTAAATGAATGAATAGTGAAAGTATAAG